GAAAGCTCAATTTCTAGCTCTTTGAGGAATTTTTCAGTATTCTTTCTGGAAAGGCAGGATCAATCAGTATTCCCACCAGCAGTGAGTCAGTCTATCTCTTTCTGAAGCCACACTAGGACTGGTTGTTCTTTTTGATATATACCAGCCTCTGTGGTATAAGATGGTATCTCATTGCTTGATTTGTCTCTCCCTAATAATTAGCCATGTAGAGCACTTTTTATGTGCCTTTGGCTTTATGTACTTCTTTGAGGAATTTTCATCTTTTCTCATTTTTTTGGATTGGGTTATTTGTCGATTGTTATTCTTCGATTGCCTCGAGCAGGCCCCAGTAACGTCTCTTCGGCCTAGCCCTGAGATTTTTTTTAGAAAGTGCCATATTCAAGGCTCTTGCAGAGTTAGGAGAATGAGACCCTTCATTGTTACTGGTATTTGGCATATTGGGTCGCCACAGGGAGTTTGCCAGACTCTGCCGTGTGGGCAGGTTACATTCCGTAGCTGCCAGTTTGTCTAAAGTAGGAATGAGATGATAAGATGCCGCACGCTTCCAGGATCTGGGTTTTATAGTCTCTGAATCTTGGCCGTTGATGGGATTACACGGTGCCAGGGGGCCAGTTGGTGGGTGTGACCCCCGCCTACTGAAATTTGGAGGATCTGGGTGGAGGATGCTCAGCCCCAATTCGAGTAGGCTTGGAGATCTTGGCCCCGGAACCCTCGTGGCTTTGTCCCTCTGCCAGTACCTTTGTGTGTGCGGAGAGTGGTCTCAGCATGGTGGTGGCTGGATCTGGAGGTCTTCGGCTGCCAGAGCCCTGGTCAGGGCGGGGAGGAAAACTCAACCCGCTCCCCTCCAAGGGACCCTGGTGAGGACAGCCAGGCGCGGGGCCAGGAGACTCTGGATTGGGTTATATAATTTTTTCTTGTAAAATTTATCAGTGCCTTATATATCTTGTATGTTAATCCCTTATCAGATGGGTATAGGGTAAATTTTTTTTTGGATGGGGTTATATATTCTTTCTTGTAAAGTTTATCAGTGTCTAATGTATCTTTTATATTAATGCCTTATCAGATGGGTATTGGGTAAATAATTTTTCCCATTCCTTGGCTGTCTTTTTTCCCCCTGCTATTTGAGTCATAACCGGTGACTTATTCCTGGCTTCAAACTCAGGAACTACTCCTGGAGATGCTCGGGGAACCATATGGGTTGCTGGGAATCAAACCCGGGTCAGCTGTGTGCAAGGCAAACACCCTACCCGCTGTAATATTTTTTTTCCCTGCTTTTCCCTTGGGCTGTTTTTGTATTCTGGACACTGTTTTCTTTGAAGTGAAGAAGCTTCTTAGTTTAATGTAGTCCCATTTGTTTATCTTTGCTTCCACTTGCTAGGTCAGTGGAATTTTATTCCAGAAGATGCCTTTAGCTTCAATGTCTTGGAGAATTCTGCGTACATTTTCCTCTATGTGCTTTATTGATTCAGGTCTGATATCAAGGTCTTTAATCCATTTTGATTTGATTACTGTGCATGGTGTTAGAGATCGGAGTTTATTTTTTTGCATGTAGCTGACCAGTTTTTCTAACTTCACTTATTGAAGAGGCTTTCCTTGCTTCACTTTATACATTTTGCTCCTTTATTGAAAATTTACTGGTCATATACCTGAAGGTCTGTCTTTATTCCAATACCATGCTGTTTTATTTATTACCATTTTGTAGTACAGTTTAAAGTTGGGAAAAGTGATGTCTCCCATCTCCTTTATCTCAAAGACTACTTTAGCTATTCAAGGGGGTTTACTGTTCCATACAAATTTCAGGAAAAGCAACGGCATTTTATAGGAACCTTGTACTGTTTCTGATCTTAGAGGAAAAGTATTCATTTTTTCCCCATTGATTGTGAAAATTTGGTTTGTCGTATATGTTCATTTGGTGTTGGGATTATGTTCACTGTAAAACCATTTTGTTGATTTTGTTATATATGAATTCTAGATTTTGTCAGTTTTTTTGGGGGGGAGGGGGGAGTGGGGCATACAAGCAATTTTCAGGAGGCCCCAGAGTTTCACTGGTGATTCTCAGCCAACTGGACTGTCCAGTGGTTCATTGCAAGCCAGTACCCAGAATATAATGCTGCTTGGAGCCAAGTGGTGCTGGGCATGTCCAGGGCTGCACCTGGCAATGCTCAGTAGCCATATGGTACTGGACATTGAACCTGGGTCAGCTGTTGTACTATATTCTAGCCCCTTGTCAAATGCTTTATCTTGATCTCTTGATATAATAATGACTCCTTTAATATATTGTTGAAGCTAATATACTATGATATTGCGGAGAACTTTTCATCTATCTTTACCCCGGCTTTATTATCAGGGTAATACTGGACATGTGGAAAGCTTTGGGGTTTCCTTGTTTTTAATTTTTGGCAAGGTTTGAGGACAGGTCTCATACTGACATGAAAAAGAAAATGAGTGCCATTATTGATTTTTCAGTAATATTAGAAGTTTATACTGTAGAAATTATTGACTTTCAAAATTTAAAGGTTGTATAAGAAGTTCCACAAAACTAGATGCAGTGTATTTTCAGTAAAATTGCAGAGATATTACAGCCTGAATGATTTAGTTTCTTATTAAATGCAGATCTGTGGTGGACTGATCTTTCAAAGTAAGAATGGATCAATACAGAAATAGTCATTCATGGCTAAGCTAGCATTTTAATGTCATTAGCAATTGTTTTGAATAAGAATAAGGCAAAAAAGATTTGGGAAATCTCACTTTAATATTTGGAAGAAAAATTTTACATTAATTATTAAATTATCCACTTCTTGTTCTGCACATTAGATGCTTTACTATATTTAAACATTCAAAAATATTAATATGCATATATGATTAAAGTGTAGCAGTAGGTCACTGCTTCCAATCAACTCCTAGAACATTTAGTTATCTATGTGTTTTTGTCAAATTCTCTGCACTGACTGGATTGTAAGGCAGAAGAGTATGTTTGAGGCTTATTGCTAACTTGAACGATGAGTGAAGGGTACTGCACTGTGTCAAATGGTTTACTGAGTTGGCCTTTTATCAGCTAATTCAAATGTACAAAACTGTTTGCCCAGAAACATAAAATTGTTTCTCAATATCTGCCTTCAAAGTAAAGGTCAGTACTATAGTTTTCATCTTCATTTGGCTAAAGGAATGTTATGAATTTAAAAACCCTAATTATAATCTTCAATCCACTGCTGGAGGAGTATTTATCAAGGGAATATCTGCAACAGAAACAATCTGCTTCCTGGTTGGAACTTCCCTCTGTCAACTCTGTTCTTTGCTTTCCTCTCCACAGTGAAAATCTTATTCAGGCCAGTTCCAATCTGATGCTTCTGTGAGGAAGAGGGGACTAAGGATGCCTTTCTAGTCCCACATTCCTGGCACTTCTGCTTGAAGACTGCCCTTTGGTTCCCATACAGTGATTCTCTGGGGGACCTCCCTTCTTCCTCTACCCAGAGGGACGTCACTTCCCTTCACCAGGTTGCCTCTCAACTTGGGGTATTGCAAAGCTCCAAGTTTTTTAGCAGTGTTTGTCATCTAGTGTGTCCAAACTATCTGGATGAATTTGTTTCATTCCTGAAAAATTTAAGAACTTATAGAATTCTTCCAATATTACTTGTAAGGACTCTTGTCCACTTCAATGTGTAAATGTCCTTCACCATTCTTGATTTGTTCTGAGGCTAAAAGGAATTGCAACTAGAGGGTAAAATACACATTTCAGCAACATTTGCAAGAACACTTTATTCCCACTTTGGTGATGGAAAACATTCTGTTCTCCAATGCCTATAAGCAGGACCTGCTTCATCGTTCTAATTAATTACCTTTATTAACGTAGAGCTAAAAGGAGGTGGCAACTTGAACAAGGAAATAAAAAGCATTGGACCTCATCAGACTAGTTCCATAGAACTGCTTTTTAACTGAAGGTAAAAGAGCAGTCACGTATTGCACATAATAAAGCAGAGTAGATGTTTAGATTGCATAGCACATTCTATTTCCAGCATATCTCCTGAATATACTAATGACAAAAGAAACACGTATTTTCTTCATTTAGCACAAGAAACAAGTGTATTTGCTATAGAATTAACAGTTAATTTGATGCCCCAAATGAGGTAAAATTGCAACATTTTGCATAGCAAACTTCCCTTGGAACACTTATTCAGACCTTGGTTAAAATTACTGATTGTCACATTAAAAAACTTCAATGTCAAGTTTGCTCACAGAAATTAAGACAAAACAACCCCCCAAAATCCAAAAGTTATTTGGGTAGTTTCATAATGATGATGTTATTGCTTATCCTAGAGTCACAATTACCAGAGGGGGAAATGCCCTATTGGTTAACAGTTTCAACAGGAAAGCATTGATGCATCTACTTTGTACCAAAGTCTGTTCATTTTCTAGGAGAATACATACAGTCTCTTTACATCATTCATCATTTTTGAAAATACGCTGAAATTCCTTACAGACTCCTACAGCATCTTAGTAAGAAGAATTCAACAATGATAATGAGCTAACACATCATTTCCTCACAGTTCTTCTACTGAGTTTTATGTTTCTAATGCTGTGCTTATAGAATGTATGATTCCAATTAAGGAGAAACCTAGACCTACATGAAGAACATACATGGAATGTACATGGATATGAGGCAACTGGTGATCTTATGTTAAGATACAGTGACGTGGAAAGATGGTATTTTCTAAAGACACAAGACCAACTATCAGTACTCTCAAACATTATGTATAATTGAACTATGAAATACAGAACATGTAAATGTCAGAAGACAAAAAAAAAAATCTCCCTCCAAACCCACAAAAGCATGAAGCTCATTACAATTTTGAAAAAGTAGTCATAACCTCAAGTATACAGAAGAAGCAATTCTTATTTTGCCTGTTTTTAAAATATGTCATAATTTAAAACTATAGTCACTTACATAAAAGGCATTTTTTCCAAGTGTTATAGCTTAGAGCCTAGCTTTGTATTTGGCTTAATCATTTTTACCAGTTTAATTTATAAAGCTCGTAATCTTGCCAGCAAGGCTTCAACTTCAGGAATGGATTCATTTTTAGGAATAGTGCCAAGAAGTTCCATTTCCTTTTTTCTGCTGCTTTCTACATTACGGGTTTCCTTCTCAGCTGCCGTGATCCTCCCTGTAGATGTATGAGTGTCTAGATTATAATTAAGCTCCTTGGTGACTTGAGTCCTGGTTGAGTTGCAATTGATACTCTGGTGTGAACGTGACCCTTCTGTCAGCTGCAATTTTTGATTTTCTACAGAAAGAAAAAAAAAAGAACATGTAAAATTCTTCACTGTGACAAGAAGGCTTGTGCACATTCTGAAGCATACATTTTAAATAATTACTTTCAATTAACAAGTACTCTTTAAGGAACTACTCAACATAGTAAGTTAGATTCAAAGTACATGTGTTGAAGTTAACAATAAACAAATATAATAGATAACCATTTCAGTAGCACTGATGTTTGATTTCCTTTTTTTCCTGGATGCTTGAAATGCCTATCATTTGGGTATTAATAACATTTGTCCTGCATTTTATTCAGAACTGTTAAGTGCAATCTGAACAGAGAAGTTTTCTCTAATATCCTTCTCATATAGCACTTACCCCTTGTAATTACTTTAATTCCTTTACCTCAACTCTTTCCTTCTCATAATAATTGGAAACATATCTTGTTTACTTGTCCATTAAGTGTTTCATGACTAGAATATAAGCTCTGAGACTGCAGGGTCATTGTTTAAAATATTCCATGGTAAAAAAGATTGTTGTCCAGAAGGCTCTCTTGCAAAGTATTTGCTCAAGAAATGGGAATTTCTTCTACACTTCTTGATCCAAGAAAGAAATTATTTTGAATGATGTAATAAATTTTCTTTTTGAACTAAATCAAGAAAGTTTCTAATAAGAATTTAAAAATCAAAATTTGATAGGCAAACTGTTAAAATTCTCCAGTATAAGTTGTTTCACATATCCGTTTATATCTACAGGGACAGGCACAGATGCACACATAGAGATGCAATAATTAATGACTCAGTGGTTCTGGCTGACTGACTTCCCAAGGAACACTAACTTTTCTTTAAATTAACTTTCTCACTATATAATCTTATGAATGATCTTTCTCGTGGACTCAAACTTCTTAAAACAGACACCCTCAATATTCATGTAACCTTGAACAAGGCTTGAAAATGACTTCAACAAACTTGACATGACATTTAAAGTTTTTTGGTTATTTGCTGAGAGATGTTCCATTATCCCAATAGTAATGACTTTGGAGCACAAGCAGTCACTCATGACAATGTGTTTTATGTGAGTGCTGAAGATTCCAACTGAAAACAGCTTGTACATTAAAAGGTAGCTGCTGAAGATATTTACTGCACTGTCATTTCCTGACCAGGGGCTTCAGTGATGGATGAGTATTTTACACACTTTCTTGGACGATCTCAACAAATTTTAGAAGTATGATCACCTTTTAGCTGTTGGAAGAAAATAAATACACTTTTCCTATCAGCTTCTCTATCAAATGAGCAATTGTTACTCAAAAATCAAAATTTAACAGATCAGTGATTTTCTCCTAGTATATTTTATGCTCTAGTTTATAATGTACATATTTGCAGTAAAGAGCCTAGTTCACATGGTACTACTGCATTTTTCATAACCACACATTTCTCCCCCTAGTGCCTACTATCCTGGCCCCAAAATATTTGAAAACTTGTAGCTAAGTGCAAAATTTCAAATTTTACTGCTTCTCACAGATGTTTCTATCTTTATCACTCAATTTCTTATAAATTATTCCGATGGTATAGCCAATAAAGCCGGGTCATTCTGCAATAGGATAACTGCTTAAATGTTTGATGGCAGTGGCAGAGAATAGATTCAATTGGTTAGAATGATTCTAAATATGCAAATAAATTACTTATAGGTGACCAAGTGAACAGAACTTAGGAGTTGAAGGTAAAATACAGGTTGAAATCCATGATCTATCATTTAGTTTTAGCTAGTAAACTCTCTGTGTCTTAAGGTGTAATAATCCACCTCAAAAAATAACTGTGGGAATGAAAAGAAGCCCTGTGGATAAATTCTTATTTCCAGTTACTTGTCTTTGTCTCTCTGTCAAACCTCTCACGGACTGAGGGCTTCATCCAGATGCTCTGACCTTTCTGACTTCTTGATGATTTTACTGTGAGAACTGAAATACATTTTATTAATAGCTTGTACGTGTACAGAACCTTTATAAGGCATTTGTTGCACTTTAAATACTACCAGCCTCAATTTTCTTGAGAAGTTAAAACAAAAGGAGGTTCAGTTATTTGCTTAGACTTCGTTAACTGAGTAAAGGTAAAGGTAAAGGTAAAGTCCCTCCCGTTGATCGTCGATTTGCTCGAGCGGGCCCAGTAACGTCTCCATTGGAGACTTTGTTGTTACTGTGTCTGGCATATCGAATACTCTCGGTAGCTTGCCGGGCTCTCTGAGAGGGGCGGAGGAATCGAACTTGGGTCGGCCATGTTGGCTGCGTGTAAGGCGAACGCCCTTACCCGCTGTGCAATCACAACCAAAGCCAAATGCCATCTCGAGAGATACTGAAAACTTGTCTAGAAGAAATTTGAAAATCTTTTTGCCAAGGAAAAGTGCTAAGTAATTCAAGCTAAGTTTCCTAATAATGATATCCTGTACTTGAAAATGCTTTCTCACATACTGAATCTCCCACCAAATAACTTTGTAAAGCAGATGTACTTTTATAAACTATCATAGCATACTATTTCCAAGATCATCATGGACTTCCTTGTCTCTTTCAAGTTCATGATCAGGAACGTCAAGAATGACCTATAAGTTCTTTTGTCCAGTCACTCTTCCATTCTCCAATAGACAACCATTTCCCGCCACCTTCTTTCAAACACCTACCCTGCTCTCCTTCTTTCAAAGAAAGAGTAAGACAACTCCCATAAGAGAAGTACTTCCACCCTGTCCCCATCCATCTATTCATTCATTCACATACAATTGTCACTCTGCTTTGTCCCCTGAGGACAGCCCTGCCACAAGCGCACATACAATACTCTCACTCTGACTAGCAGAGAACTTCCGGCCGCTAGTTATGGCCTCTCTGCATCATAAAGTTTGCCTCTATGTGAGCACCCCCCTCAGGATAATCTGTTGTAATAACCCCAATCTTTACAGAAAAATAGGTCTATTTGACTTCATATCCTTCTCCATTTTTTATACCAAGTTTGTTGACACCCTTGTAGCAAAATACAAAAAAAATGAATGGCTCAAACTTGCTGTTTGTTCTTTCACCATTTTTTTCCTTTTGATCCCACTCCAATCATGCTTTTGACCCCTTACTCTTCTGAAAGAGCACTTGTCATGGTTACAAATAAACTGCATGTTGCTAAAACAAGGATTACATTCCACTTGGATATTATAGTTCTCTGACTTGACCTTACCAGATCTCAGGCTGAAATGGCTAGCAGATTCTGGATTTTTTTCTTAAAGTGTCCACTCTTGAACTTCTCAGGGCCTTAGAGAGAGTAGGTCAAGCTAGTGAGTGTACTGCCACCCATTGGAAAACTGACAAAGAGTTCAGGGGCTAGCTTTAGAAACAAAATGGAATGAGAAAAAATAAGTTGGCATTTTGTTTTAGGCTTGAAAATGAAAAATCTTTCGTGGGTAGAAATAAGACTATCCCAAAAGGAAAGATGCCTTTCCTGAGACCACGAAGGACAAAAATGAAGTGCACAAGGGCTAGAGAGACAGTACAGCTGCCTTGCATGCAGACAACCTGGGTTGGTCCCTGGCATGCTATGTGATCCCCGAATGCTGAGGAGGAATATGACCTGAGCACCACTGGGTATGGCGCCCCCCACTCCCGCCAAAATAAAGTGCATGAGAGTTTTTTAAAGAATGATGTTATAAGCTATTCACAGTAGCCAAGATTTGGAACCCACCCAAGAACAGGTGAGTGAACGAAGAAATTGTGGTATACATGTACAATGGATATTACTCAGCCATAGTAAAAAGATGCTTATAAGATATATACAGTAACTGCTCTGTGGATGAGATTAGAGGGTATCATGAAACCCAAGGGGCAGGGACAAATGCAGAATGATGTCTCTCATTTGTAGAATACAAAGAAACAGAGTAAGGGTCTTCTACCACTGGCGAAGGGATGCTAACATTATATGCTAACACAAATTCTTTTAAAAGTACTGTAAATCAGAGCACTTACAATGAAAACTAGAAGGAAAATACCCTGATAAAAACGTAAAGCTCTGCTAGAAATTCCTAGTTAAGAAGTCTTCAGTCCTTGAATTGCCTTAGCAGCAGCTCCTGCAGGGCCAGAACCATTGACGACATAAATGGTAGAAATAAGGGACTCACCTTGAAGGAGCCCATGAAGAAAGACGGGTTAGAGAATTCTCTACTACCTATCATAACCATAGAAAGGATGATTACAGGTAGAAGAAGCTCCTAAATTGAAAGTCCACTTTTCTACAGAAATATTGCTATGGTGCTGGTCCAAAGTTCGTTCCCTTTTGTCGTACTATTATTTTAAAATTCTGCCATTGGTGATTTCATGTGGGCTGACCAGGAGAACCACACACTTAATGCCCTTGAAACAAGCAATTCGTTTCTAAGTGGTTCACTTCAAACATCAGGGTGCTGAAAAACCCTGGAACTTGGAGGACCCTCTACATCAGTGTTCAGAGGCATGAAATAAATTGAATAAGGCCAATGGGCTCATCCTTTTCATAGGAAATTTCATAAACCTCTAAATATGAGCTCTCGTACATAGACTTTTTCAATGAAAGATGAGGCTGAGGTGTCAATAAAAATAGAAGCACTTTCTATTCCCCATTAACTCAAACTCCTACCACTAGGCATATTTAAAATGAAACTAAAAATATTAAGGCCATGTAGGATGATTGCTTGCTTCTCCAGGGAGAGAGAGCTTCTGCTATCTTATAAATCAAATTTAAATCTGTTTTTCCTCACTCTCAAATGTTACAATTGACATAAAAGAAGTAACTTCTAGGAAAACTGCCAATATCCAGGGTCATTGGTGACTGCAGCGCAGACACGCAAGGACCCATGGCTATTCTTAGATCAGGACAGTTAGGGAATCGAATTTACACATCTTATATTTATGCTTCCATGGGAAAAAAAGGATCATAATAAATGCCACTTTCCTTTAAGACAAAAAATATAACCCCCTCCCCAAGTTATTTCAATTAGAATTATCCTCCCGTTGTTCATCAATTTGCTTGA